CTTTCCCTCTCTCTCTTTCTCTTTCTCTCTCTCTTTCTCTCTCTCTCTCTCTTTCCTGCTCTCTTTCTCATTCTGTCCCTCTCTGGTCAAAATTAAAATTAATAAATAAGTAAAGAGCTAAATAAAATGATTCTTAAAAAACACACATAGCAGAATAAAAACAAAGATGAAATACTAGATCCTCATCTTAAATGCTGTATTTACATTCAAAGCAATGATTCTATTTTATTTTAATCAAATCACTTAAACACAGAATTTCTGAATTAATATGTTCTTTTTTCTTTTTTTTTTCTTCTTTAAATTTTTTTGATTCTTTTCAACCCATCTAGGCATACCTATTTCCTGATGCCAGCTAACTAACCCAGGGGGGAATATGGTGTAGTGTGACAACACCACAGAAATCCCACTAGAGTATATTTATCCCAGTTGGGTAAATGACCCCAACATCAAAGCTTCTTATAAAAATTCCTCATTCACAGAGGTAAATGGGTGATCTTCACATACCCTGATCTATGTAAGAGTAAGAAAATCTCTCCTCTCTCTATGAAGTCTAACAATTGTTGTCAGATCAGAAACAGTACTTGGTTGTGCCTATAATAAATATTTCTGATGACTTAATCTGCACCATAAGAAATTTAGCTTAGATAAACAAGGAAGAATTTCTTGCTGAACATTAAATTAAAGAAGAAATCACCTAGTCCTCTGGCTTTGCACCTTCAGCATCTCTGTATCCCTCCTAATTCTCCACATCTTGAAAGGTATGACCTTCCCCCACTTGCACCTAGTCCCTGACCTTCAAGTCTTTCAAACTCCTGACTATGTGTACTTGCTCTCTACTGTTTTATTCACTTCCCTGGATCTGATGCCTTTTCAGAAGCTGCAAATTCCATATACACATTTTATTTTCATCTATTTAGCTATTCATAAGAAAATCTGTGCTTCATCTATGTATATATTTCTTAGCATGTGTAATAACAAATCCCAAAATACAGTCATAGGCACCACTCCTCTGTAGTTTAATTTATATTTCTAATTGATTTATGCTTACTGCAGCACATTTGTGCTATTTAACCTCTTATATCTGGTATAATCTGATTTGCTTCCTTTTTGTTTGGTTCTGATGCACAAAAAGGCAGTGTGAAAAAGTAAGATGACCACACCATTAGTGTCAGAATGACCTGGCTTTATTACATTTATCAACAGGAGCCTTCAATAAGTTCTTCAGTCTAAACCTGGGTCACGTCTACTGAAACCTGGAGATAGTCACAGCCTGTTAGTGGTGCTATTGACGTAATGCATGTGGAAACATGCAGCAAAGAAGCTGGCTCAACACCCTTTCTCTTCTCGCTGAGAATATTACATCCTTTTGCTGGTCTGTCTTGCAACCTTTCATCTAGTTTACATTTCAATGTAGGCCCCAAGAACTGAGGCTGGTTTCTTGGTGCTTCAGGTCACCATGTTTGGGGGATTTGGTCATAGCTTTGCAGCCACTAAGGTGATTAGCTTTATAACATTTAACAGA